GCGGGGGCGGCACCGGCGAGTCCCCCTCGAACCTCGGGGCCGGCCGGCGTTGGGATCGCGCCGGTTCCAGGCGGTTGCAGGCAGCCCTGCGTTCTGCCCAGGATTTTAGTTCATCTGCCAGGCCCGAGTAGTGACTGCCTAGGGTGGGCCAAGGCTTCAGTTTAAATTTACTAGTTTCCACAAAAGAAAAGAATGTGAGGGATGAGCAAGAGATGTGGGCAAGACGAGCGTGAATCCGCGGGATTTCTCGATTTTAGCAGCTCTGAGATGGCTGGGGTTACACCACCCAACCACCTCCCAACACCTTTCTTTTCCCCTTTTCTCCCCTTTTTATGTCCAATAAATGTAATAAGTCTCTGCTGTCTGTGTATGGTCTTTGCCCTTCTCGCCTACTTGCCCTTTTTCTTGGGTTCTCTGGGTGCTGAGTCCCATTTTTCTTTGAGATAATCCAGTATCCTGAGGACATCAGGGCCAATGGCCTTGAGAACAGACCTCCAAGTCACCCACCCCATCACCAGCCACCCTGAGAGGATGCTCCCGCTAAACACTCCACACCAAATGCAAATTTCTGAAAAATCCCAGACGGCCTCAAAAGCCTCCAAACAACCTCAGAAATTCCACAGGCCAGCGATTTCAACTACCCCGCATTCCGCGTTGGTTGGCCTAGCCTGTGAGCATGATCCTGAGGTTCGTCTGGATCTTAGTCATTTTTACAGATGGAAAAAAATAAGATGGATTGAAAGGCATGGCAAAATAATATTGTTTCTACAGAGGATGGATGTCAATGGTAAACGTAAACGGATTATTAGCAAACCTGGAGATGATAACCGATAACTCCGTGCTTTATTGAAATTTTAAACTAGTCAAGAATGCAGAAGATTTTTTGTTACAGGGGTGGTTGGAGGGCAAGCCTGTTTTTCTAATTTTCTCTTTTAGAACTGCCGATTAGATTATCATCGCCAGGTAGCTTCCTGTAAATTCAAAAAAGAAGGAACTGTTTCTGACAGGATTGATACTTCAATCTTGTAAAATACCCAATTAAATTATTATTTTAAATAAAACTTTGTAGTTGTGCCTTTATTTCACTGTGTGTGTGTGTGTGTGTGTGTGTGTGTGTGTGTGTGTGTTTGTATGCTTGCGTTTTGAAACCTGGATAAATGAATGGGTTTGGGAACAGAATGGGAAAAAAGAGAAGAAACTGAATCTCAGTGACACAAAGCACTTTTTAGAACTGAGTGACTCCTGAGGACAGAGGAGGATGGCATGGAGGGGACAGGAACACTACAAAATTCACTTCTGCACATTCAGGCCTAATTTAGAAAACATTACAACACAACATTTCCTCTTGGGACAAAATACTTTTAAATTTATTTAAGGATTCTATGCATAATTTGAATAGAAAGAGAGCGCGGTTCACTTCGTGAATAAAGGTCTGTGCTTTCACGTCTCCGTTTTGATAGAATGCATTAATTTACCATAACCTTTTATAGTTTCAACTGTGTCCATAGTTCAATTTTTCTGAAATCCTGACTGAGCCAAAATGTTATGCCTAACCAACATGGCTGGGGAATTTAATCATGAACACTGTTTATTTTTGGTTAAATTTATCCTAATTTGGGATTAAAAATAAGATTGTAAATATTTTTAATCAAAACCTTCCTCGGCCGCAACGCCAGCTTTAGGCGATCAGAAAGTGGAGCAACAGCGCCCTCTAGTGGCCAAATGTCAACTCGAGCGGACCGAGTAACATCCTTTTTATTCATCTCAAACAAATTCTAATCTTGTGTTTCTATTTGACTGGGGCTTGGACCGCTGACACTAATAATGCTTCATCTTTTTGATTGTCAACAAGACAAGTACAACAAAGGGAGGGTCCTGAATGCTAAGTATATTCTCATTTGTGTTCCCAAGAGCTTCCAGTAGTGTCTTTGCCAAAAGCTCCAGTCTTTTGCCAGACACAGTAGGTTCCCATTTTGTAATAGCCCATCTGTACCTTTTATAAGAATTATAGTACAGGCTAGATTTAACAAAAATCACAACTTTTAAAACTATCAATTGCCAAAAGGCTTTTTTTCCCCCAAAGGAGCCAGGCATTTCAACAACTAAGAAATTATAGAAGTCAAACGTTATATTTTTCTCTTAAAACCGTTATCTTTTGGCATCAAATTATAAATATTTGGTATTTTAACTTTTTAATTTTTATATCTTAAGTCCATTTAGCTGGGCAATTTGGGGGATTGAAGCCAAATTAAAAGCGTTGTGCTGATCTCGGAATTCTATCTGGAAAGTCCCCATTGGGTTTGCATACGTTCAAATTTCTACAGACAATAAATGAGATTTTAAATTTTTATATGAAAAGTCAGACTGAACTGGATTGACTAAGTATTGTACTTGGATTTTTTTAAAAGCAAAGATTATTCAATCATGTTATGTTTTCTGCTTAATTTTTTTTCTAATTTCCAAAAATGCTTTCTGCCAGTTCAGGTGTTAATGACTGCATATTTAATAAGTAAATAGATATAAATTCCAGTGTTTTGTAGTGAAGTTTAGAGTGCCAGATATTTTTTGTGAAAAGGTTATTGATTCTGGGAGGCTTCAGTAACTTCCTTACTTCAAATAACGGGGTGTTTTTTTGTGTTGTGTTTTGTTTTGTTAAAGAAACAGCTATATGTGAGCATAGCCAAAATAGAAGGAGCCACCAACCTCTGCAGGCTACACCTAATGCTCAGCCCATTAAAAAAAAATTAGAAATACATCCCCTCCTTCCTACTTCTCACTTTACTTCCTAGGGTTTCACACCTCACCCTGGGCTTCCAAGCCCCTGCCTTTTTTGTCCAGTGCAGTCTTGTTTATATTTTTATTGTCCAGATTTTAAGACCCAGTTTTGTCTGCATTTTTCCTTTCCCCTCACAAACATCAAAATGAGATGGTTTCAAAGCAAAAGTGCCTGGCCTGTTGTAAACTCATTACCCCCAGACGTCTCGCCGGCTGGATGGCTTTATGACACCTTGGCTCTTCCTGTTTTCAAAGAGCTCTAGGTATCTGGCGGTCCACAGGGGTGGGGGTACGAAGCACCTTCTGCCAGATCTGGGCCTTGGCTTTCCCTCCCAGCCCCCCTCTGCTTTTTCTTTGAGTCCCCTCTTTCATCAGGATCCCCAAGATCTCTGCCACCTCCCCCGCCTTCCGCCCAGCCCAGGCCAACCGGAGCCAATGCCTCCTCTAGGGCCTGCAAAGGCTGTGCTCTGCCTGAACCCTTGCTTACAATGACCTTCATTTCAGCCTCTGAAAGTGGACCTCAGAGGGCCAAGCTGGGGGCTAAACACACACTGAAACTGGGTGGAGGGAGAGGGGCGGTGGGTTGAGGGTGGCCGGCCAGGAATACCTTGACCATTTTGATCACTGGATCACTTTGGTGCTCTGGTGGGGAGAAGTGGAAGCTCACAACCTCGCCAGCCTGGACCTCTGGAGCCAGCTAGCCCTGAGACAAGTGGGAGAGTTACTCCAGAGTGCAGAAGTGGCCTTTCCCTTGTTTGAAAACTGCAGTCAGTAGCTCCCTGCAGCCATAGAAGGCATGGGGTATGGTGTGCTGAAGCCAAAGCAAAAGAGGGTGCCTGGTTCCTGGGGCCGCCTGCTCCATTGTGCACTGCTGCCAGGCCAACCCTGAGAGCGGCGGGCAGGGTTCACTGCAGCCCGGCAATATTACCACATGGGGAGGCACCAAGACCCCCACACCAGGGGGTGTGCTTGAGGCCAAGTCTGCCCACACAAAGGGAAAGACTTTCGAGGTAGAAGGGTCCCCTGTATTTAGCAATGTCTCCCTGCCTATGGGCAAGGGAGAATTCTCAGGAGAGTGATATTTTGCAGAAAGAAGAGATAGTAGGCACACAACTTCAGGACCCGTGTCTGGGCTCCGTTTGATCAGATCAGCATTTATTGTTAGGAAGCGGTAACATTTACAACTGGTCCTTAGGCAGGAACCGGGATGGTCACCACCAGGCTGCCCATTCGATCCCAACCCTCCCGGGGAGAAAGCAGCTTCTCCAACACACTCAGGACAAACCATTACCCACCTGAGGCCCTAGACTCCTCTCTAGGCCTCACTCGAGGTCTCAGTGGAAGGCCTGCGGGATCCCTGAGGAAAGCGGGCTTTGGAAACCGGTGGCCCACCCAACTGGGCTTGCACTTGGGCAAGCAGCAGGGATGTCCACATTGTCTCCCTCTGCCTTCAGATTCCCAGAATTGGGGTTACACTTGGCCCTGCTGGGGCAGTGCTGAGGGGTTGGGGACTAAGCTACAGCACATTTTGGAAACATGGGAGACATTTACACAGAAGAGGGCTCCTTAAACCAGCGTGCACTCACAAAATATAGCATTTCCTAAGGAATCAATGGAGCAGGAAAAGGAGTGGGATAGGCGAAACCCTGAAGCCATTTGGTTTCTCCAACACATAAGCGAGCAAATACAGAGTCCCCCAGATACCTCACAGAGACCAACCACACAGTCACTTCTACATAATAAAGAAAAAAAAAGTCTGAGTCGCTGGAGAGTTTTTGGAAATCAAGCACCCACAAAGAAAAACCCCCGCTGCCTCTGAGCGCTCCTTCGGTACGGGTACTGCGCTGGGTCAGTCTCCTTTTGGGCATTTCTCCTTGCTCATCTTTTTCATTTTCATCCTACGGTTCTGGAACCATATTTTGACCTGTCTCTCTGTGAGGTTCAGAATCCTGGCCACCTCGTAGCGCCGGTCCCGGGTGAGGTACATGTTGAAGAGGAATTCCTTCTCCAGCTCAAGCGTCTGGTATTTGGTGTAGGGACAGCGCTTTTTCCGGGTAGAGCGAGCATGGATCCAGTTCGCTGCGGGGTTGTCTACGAAGAGAGGGGTTTTCAGAAGGGGAGCAAGGGCGGAGGAGAAGCAGGAAAAGAGAACAGGGTGGGGAAGAGAGGTCGTTAAATTAATTTCAGTAAGGATGGCCGCTTTTCACAACTTGGGGGGAATTATCATAAAAAGCCTTAATGCCCGCACTCTGTTTACCGTACAAACCGCGCGCCTAGGGTAGGTGGTTATGGGAAGGTTTTTTATGGATGCATGTTGCTTGCCTAGGCTTGGGTAGGCGTCTAGACGTTTTTATAGGTTAGTAAAACTATCAGTTTTGCACATTCGAGCCTTACAGGTTTCAGCAATAAATCAGGGGGCAATTTCTTTTGCACTTACTTGGGTCAAGTTGCTGCTGCGGAGCCTGTGGATGCTGCTTCTCCTCCTCCTTCAGCGGGCAGCCTGGGCTCGGGTGATCGCTGCAAGCCGAGGGCTCCGAGGAGCCGCCTGCACCAGGCCCT